ATTTTTTAAAAATTAACATTAACATTGTTTAAGAATTATTTTGTTTATTTGAAAGGCAGAGGTACGGGGGGCGGGGGGAAGAGACAGAGAGAGATTTTCCATCTGCTGGTTCACTCCCCATATGGCTACAGCAGACAAAGCTGGGCCAGGCCAAAGCCAGGAGCCAGGAGCTTCATCTGGGTCTTCCATGTGGGTGCAGGGACCCAAGCATTTGGGCCATCTTCCACTGCTTTCCCAGGTGCATTAGCAGGGAGCTGGATCTGAAGTGGAGCAGCCAGGATGTACTGGCATCCATATGGGATCCTGGCGTTGCAGGCAGCAGCTTTACTGGCTATACTACAATGCCGGTCCCCCAAGGTTCTTTTTAAAGAGTTTTTTTTGTTTTTTTTTTTGTTTGTTTGTTTTGTTTTGTTTTTTTATAATTTGAAAAGGAGATAGGGAGGGAGGGAGGGAGGGAGGGAGAAAAATATCTTCTATCTACTGGTTAACTTCCCAAATGCCTGCAATAGCTGGTGCTGGTCCAGGCCAAAGCTAGGAACTGGGAACTCCATCCAGGTCACTTCTATGAGCGGCAAGAACCCAAGTACTTGTGCCACCACCTGCAGCCTCCAAGGCTATGCATTGGCAGGAAGCTGGAATCAAAGCAGAGCCAGGACTTCAACCCAGGCACCAGGCACCAGGCATCCCAGGTGGCAGCAAACACCTGCTCCTCTTTCTGTTTTTGTTTTGTTTTGTTTTAAGATTTTATTTACTTGTTTATTTTAGAGGTAGACTTACAGACAGAGAGAGGGAGGTTCACTCCCCAAATGGCCACAACAGCCAGAGCTGGGGCAATCTAAAGCCAGGAGCCAGGAGCTTCTTCCAGGTCTCCCATTTGGGTGCAGGGGCCCAAGCCCTTGGGCCATCTTCTACTGCTTTCCCAGGTGGTCATAAGCAGAGAGAGAGCTGAATCAGTAGAGGAGCAGCCGGGACACAAACTGGTGCCCACGTGGGATGCCCATACCGCAGGCAGAGGCTTTGCCCACTACGCCACAGCACCAGCCCCTCTCTTACTGATGTTTTAACAAAGATTCTTACAGCTTCACTAGGGATGTTGTCTTTGTGCTGACAACTTCTGTTCTTTGAGAACCCTCGCCGTCTGTGGAAGCTGAGAACGAGAAACAGATTTCAAACCCAGCAAGTCCTGGGCTCTATGTTTTTCATAAATTTTGCTGGAAAGTGACAGTTTCCTATGTAACTCAGCTTTCTCTGCCCTTTTCATATGCAACTAAAACTGGGGCCAGCATTGTGGCGCAGCAGATTAAGTTGGCGCCTGAGACTCCAGCGCCCCCATATCGAAGCCCCAGCCACTCTGCTTGCAATCCAGCTCCCTGCTAATGTGCTTGGGAAAGTAGCGGAGGATGGCCCAAGTCCTCAGGTCCTGCACCCATCTGGGGAGTGAACCCGTGTGTGGAAGATCTCTCTCTCTCTCTCTCTCCCCCTGCCTCCCTCCCTCCCTCTGACTCTTCCTTTCAAATAAATAAAATCTTTAAAAATAAAATACAAATTTATCATAAAAAAAACCTCCTAGCCCAAACAAGTAGCTCATGAGGTTCCTGTTCTCTTGGCCACATCACTGCAAGTGACAGTGTTGCTAAACTGTCTCCCACCGCACAGCTAAGTTCCCTGTCTTCCTGCTTCCAGTTACACTGTCCAGCTTTTCCTTCAGCCCCCACCGGCAGCCTCCTGGAAGATCACCCAGGCTTGCAACAGCAACACCTTCAAAGCCCACCTCCCCGGCCTGAGCTGTGGGACTCAGGTCTGGTGTGGCCTCCAGCCACTTCGGGGTGACAGAAAAGTCTCTATGGGCTATTTCTTCCGTCCTAACAAAGTACCCCAGACAGGGCTCTTGGAACAACAGTCACATGGTTTGCTCAGGGATTCAGGGGCTGCCTGGGACTCAGCCAGACAGCTCCCACTCTGGATCTCCTGTGAGTTTGCCATCAGGTGGTGGCTGCGGCTGCGACTGGGGCTGGCTTCGGTTCTTCCTCACCCACTTTCGGGGGCCCAGGCTAGAAAGACACCCACTGCATGGGGCTGGATGGCTGCACCATCTCTCAGTTTGAATGTGGTCTCTCTACAAGGCAGCCTGGGCCAGCTGGATTCCTTTCATGGCAGCTGAAGGCTGCCCACGTGACAGCACAAAAGGAACCATCAGAACTGAGCGCCATTCCGTACCCAGCCTTGGAAGTGACACAGAGCCACTTCCGCCACACTCCCCTCGTCCAGCCACTCCCAAATACCCACCCAGCTCCAAAGGGCAGGGACCTCGACTCTGCCGTTGATGGGGGGAGACTCAAAGGATGGCGGGTATGCTTCGATCACACAAGGGGGTGAGCAAGGTGCTCAAGGCCACACAGCTGAGCGCAGCCAAACTGAGCTTGACCCCAGACATCCTGAGAAGCACGTCCTTGGCAGGTCTACACCGCCTCCTGTGGTCGTAGACACAGATGGTCTCTGTGATGCAGAAGAGGGGGAGGAGGGTCCCCTGATTTGGGACAGTTCCTGACTTGCTGCTGCGGAACTCCGCTTTCTCTCGGACAATAAGAGAACTCATAGTATCTGCAAGCAGCTCCCGGGCCGTGGAGTGGCTGCCTGGCTGCCATGCGCGTTCACGCACCAGAGCTGCAGCCGCCGCTGTTCAAGGTGCTCCCGCCTTCCCGTGGCCATCGGTGCCTGCGGTGTGGTCTCTGTGTCGCTCTGGCTGTGGCCTGCAGACACCTCCTTGTCAACCGGCCTCTGCGATCCTCTTCACACCTTCCAGCTGGCTTTGTGCACACGGGAAGGAGGCCTGTCCCGTGGTGTGCCCCACACGTCTGTCTAGTGTTGGACAAAGGTGTCCCCTACAGCCCAGCGACTGTTCACCAGGAGGCGAGGCCCCTGCACACTGCACCAGGATGTGGGGTTTCCAACATTTCCTTTAAGGTTTGACTTTGAAGAGATTTCTATACACAGCAATCGAAATTCACATCCTTGTCGTGAGTATTAAGGTCTTCAGCAGAGTTTGCCTGACAGACCAAGCTTTAAAGTAAATCTTGTCTGGAACAACAACTTGACGAGGACAAATCAACAAGGGAACACACAGAGCCGCCATGAGTGGTTGCATAGTCTGTGTACTGCACAAAGGAGCCCGACCAAGGAATCGAGTGGCGTGGGGCCAGAAACCCAGCCCCGCATTCCACCGGCCAAACCTTTCACCCTGGTGAGGAGCCGGGCCTGCCTTGCCATCTTTTCCTAATTTGTCTACCCAGAGGGGGCACTTTTTCCTAACTCAATAAAGATACCGTCAGTATTTGCAGCAGCCCCGGGGGAAGGCTGGAAGATAATAACACATTAACCCACCCCGTAGGCCACGTCAGAGAAATCAAGGCTGACAAACAGAATGTATTTATGAACTTTCCAGGAAAGGCTGAACCATCACACTTCAGGGAAGGCCAGAGCCACAGCGGGCCCAAGGACCTGAGCATCTGGAGTCAATGAATGTCTTCACTTCTCCGCAGGACAGCTCCATCCCATCAGCCCCCAGGCTCTGCCAGTTCAAAATTACAACATCTGGGGGCCAGCACTGTGGTGAAATGCCAGCATCCCGCGTGGGAGCCGGTTCGTTTCCCAGCTGCTCCACTTCCGATCCAGCCCCCTGCGAATGCTCCTGGAAAAGCAGTGGCAGATGGTCCAAGTGCTTGGGCCCCTGTACCCATGAACAAGACTCAAATGGAGTTCCTGGCTCTTGGATTCAGCTTGGCCTAGCCCTGGCCATTGTAGCCATTTGGGGAATGAACCAACAGTTGGAAGATCTCTGTTTCTCTCTCTCTCTCTCTCTCTCTCTCTGCCCTTTAAATACATAAAATAAATACTTTTTTAATGAAAAATCTGCAGAGAAAGAACCTGATTGGATCAGCCTGGTACAGATGTTGCCTCAGCACAGGTCAGCCACGGCCAGAGCTGGGAAGATCATAGAGGGTGGAGTCCCCCTGAGAGTCAGCCGCTGGGCTCCCTCCCTGGTATGCCAGGGTGGGCTCAGAGCCGAGGCCCTGGTGTGACCTGGCAGCCCTCCAAGAGCCGCTGGCGGCATCTCCGTGCAGGTTGACAGTGTCTATGACAGCTGAACTGCCCTGTGATCTCGCGATTCCACTCTTAGGTATTTACCCACAAGTCAAAACAACCTACATGCATAAAAAGACACGTGTAAAAACTGGTCCTCGCTGCTTCACTTACAACAGTCCCGAACTAGAGACAGTCCACGCGGCCATCAGTAGGCGAACCGATAAGCAAATTGCTTAATAAAAATGAAATATACTCCAAACACACAGAACAGAGGCAGGAGTTGTGCAACAGGACGAGCTGCTGCTTGGGCTGCCTGTGTCCCACAGCAGGCCTGTGTTTCAGTCTCGCCTCTGTTTCCCATCCAAGTTCCTGCTCATGTGAATTTGGGAAGCAGCAGATAATGGATCAAGTACTTGAGTCCCTGCCATGCGTGGGAGACCCAGGTGGAGTTCCAGGCTCCTGGCTTCGCCTGGGCCAGCCTAGGCTGCTGTTGTTTCCATTTGGGGAGTGAACCAGCAGACAAAAGATTTCCCTCTCTCTCTCCACCTGCCTCTGCCTTTTAAATATTAAACAAGCAAATACACACAATATGGACAGATTTCAAAATCATTATGCTGAGTGAGGAAAGTGAAAAACAAAACAGTGGAGCTGGTGCTGTGGCAGAGTGGGTAAAGCTGCCACCTGCAGTGCCAGCATCACATATGGGCCCTGGTTCAAGTCTCAGCTGCTCCACTTCGATCCAGCTCTTTGTTATGGCCTGGGAAAGCAGCGGAAGAAGGCCTAAGTCCTTGGGCCCCTGCACCCACATTGGAGACCCAGAAGAAGCTCCGGCTCCTGGCTTTAGATCAGCACAGTTCGGGCTGTTGCAGCCATGGGGGGGGGGAGGGGTGAACCAGTGGATGGAAGACCTCTCTCTCTGTGTCTCTCTGTAACTCTGCCTTTCAAATAAATAAATAAATCTTTAAAAAAATTATTCTTTTAAAAAGTACTGAACAGGGAGCCTCTAGAAGTTCACAAAAAAAATTAAAAGATAAGTTTATTTGGTGAAAAAAGTTTTGAAATCATGCAGTTTTCTTTCCTAGTATACACTGCCCATGAACTTCACGAAGCAGCCTTGTATTGTAGGACTCCATTGATGGTGAAGTTCAGAAACACCTGAACTTCAGGAACAAGAGCAGAAATCAGAACAGCAGTGGGGAGGGGGTGCCGCAGAATTGTCTGGAGTGATGGAATGCTTCTGTCTTCACGGGATGTGACACTTAAGACCTGTGTATTTCCTTTCCCCACTACACTGTAATTTTTAGAACTATAATTATCTGTGCTGAAACGCAGGGTCCTGGGAACCCCAGACAGGCTGAGTCCCCCTCCTCCTCCTCTACCCTCGGCGGGGCCTGGGAATCAGCATTCGGGACAGGCTCCGGCTCTGCAGCGCCAAGAAGCGGGCGGCGCCCCATACCTCCCCCAGGGGCGACACCCGCACACCCCTTCACCCGCGCCCCGGGCCGCCCCTCCCACCCCCGTGCACGCGATCCCACCGGACTCTTGGCGCCCCCCAGCCCCCAGCCCCCGGCCTGGTCGCTCCTGGTTACCAAGAAAGGGCCTGAAAATCCTCAAAGTGCAGCCGCCCGGGGAGGGGCGGTCCCCAGTGTCAGCGAGACAAGGGCAAATACAAAATGCGGGGTAATTGCCGGTTTTCTAATTCGCGGCCCTTTGTGCGGCGGCGCGGAGCGGGCGATCGCGCTCCCAAGCCCTGGCCTTTCAGCGGGCGCTCCCCGCGCTGCGCGCCGCATAATTAATCGGGCTTCACAGGGCCCGGGACAAAGGCGCCCATTCACCGCGGCGCGCCTCCCCCGGGGACATTGTCATCCCTGAAAACTGCAGCCAGCTGGGCCGCAGGGAAACGGCGGCCCCGGGGAGAGCGCGCGCCCGGCGCGGAGACTGGGGGCTCTGTGCCGGCCCCTGCGCGCCGGATTAGCGGCCCGGGGAGCCCGGGCGGGCAGGGGGCCCGGGGGCTTTTCTGAAGTCTGCGCGGCTCCTCAGAAAGCCTCGTGATTTCCATGGGGCCCCTGGAGGAGAGCGCCATGGAAATGGTAATGCGGCGCATTGAGCCTGGCGCTCGGGGATGGAGAGGGGGTGCGCTCGGGACCCGCGCCCGGCTCCCAGTGGGGGTGGGGCGTGGGGGTGGCCCCGTGGCCGGGCCTTCCTGGACACCAGAAAAACTGCCGAACACAGGCCCGGGTCTGCGCGCCCGGAGCCTGCTCCCCGGTTGGGGGACTGCGCTGCACGGGCCACCCCGAGGGGCTTGCCCAAGACACGTGCCTCAGATCCTGTTTCCGAGAGGGCGATGGCCAGGCGCTGCTCTTCCCCTTGCACACGAGGAGCCAGGCCCTGGCAGGCCAGCTGAGGCGTCCGAGGTCACGGGAAAACAGAGTTGGAACTGGCCCTGGACTTGCTGATGGTGCACAAAGCAGGACAGAAGGCACGCGCCCAAGAGTCCCTGACCCGGCAGGCCTCACCCCAGCCCTCCCGCCCTTGGCCTCGAAGGGCAGGAGACTGGTCTGGCAGATGCTTCCAGCACATTCTGCCCGTGGGCTCACTGGGGGTTCTCCTACCTGCTTCATCAAAGGCACCCTTGAGAGCCGCCCAGAGGCCCTGTTGGTTTTTGTGTCAGGGCGGGTGCCGAGGCCCACTGGAGGGAACGGCAGAACTGAGGCCTGCAGGGCCAGGTCTCCTGGCTGGCTTCCTCGCCCAGCTCCCAGGTCAGCAGTGCTGGGCTTCAGCGCCGCCGCTGGCCCCGAGGAAACAGGCACCCGTCCGTTCCCTCTCCCAGAGCCAGAAGCCGTTGTGAAGAGCTGCCATGGACTTCCAAAGCCTCAGCGTCCTGAACACCTCCCAGAACAAGCAGGGGCCTTTCCAAATGCCTGCCCGGCCCAGCCTGTCTCACAGAGACGTTCTGTCCCCTAGCTGTACCCTGGAAAATGTTCCGCGGCCTAAGACTGCCAGTCCCGAGCAGGACCACAGGCCTCGGAGCCAGACCGCACCGTAGGGCCCAGCTCCTCCCGCGGAGTGTGCAGAGGAAGCCCAGGCAGCTCTCCAGGGCCCAGAGAGGCCGCCCAGGCACGCTCTCCTCTGCTTCCACCTCGCCATGCTGGACGGCGCACAGCCGGTCTCCTGCGCCGTTCACGCCTGTGGGCGGGAAAATGTGCGGGAGCTTCAGGGAGATGAAGGAGAGTTCAGCGAAGGCCTGGCCAGACCTCTGAGGAGACAGAGCAACTGCGTCCAGCTCAGCCGCCCGGGCCGGCAGAGTTTCCTGGAGGGGTCACTGGGACCCGGGCAGCCCCAGCGGCCAGGCCACCAGCGTGGCGACGTGAGGCAGAAAAGCGTGGTTGAATAGCCATGACTTCACATGTAGGATGATCCAGTGCCGTCTGAAGAAGACGAGAACACTCTTGACGTCCTTGCTCAAGTGTTTATGGGAAAAGGGACGGGATGTTTCCAACCTTTTCTCAAAGGATTTCAAAATATAAATAATGGATGATCCTGAGAAGAGGCTATGTAGGAATTCCTTGCAATGTTCTTATGATTTTTCTGAAGGTTGAAATTAAAAAAAAAAAAAAAACACCAGTAGGCAGCAGCAGGTGGATACACACACACACACATATGCACACACATGCACATAACATTGATATTCCAAGTCCTGTATCCAGGCATGGGACTCAGCTCTCCTGTCACCCCTTCCCACCACACACACAGATATTCGGGCTCAGAGACATCTTTTACTCTCCTCATTACAGCGATTTGTGAATCCAAGACCGTTTAAAGATCTTAAGGATGTGTGGTGTTTATTGCAACTTGCACTGTTTCCTAAATGCAGGCATTCCAACAAGCCTAGAGCCCAGCTGCTTTCTGTGGAAGGTTCCCTGCTCCGAGAGGTGGGAGAAGGGAGCAGAGAGGGGGTGGGCAATGGTGAGAAGGAACCGAGACACAGCAGAGTCCGTGTAGATGTCCCAGCCCACTCCGCTCGTGCCAGAGCTGGTGCAGTTTGTCAAGGTGACTTAGCAGTCAGGCCCACCTAGTCAAATCCCTCTGTCCTCCCGTGACACCGGGAATGTAACAGCCATGTCGGGTCCACCCGGAGCATGTGCAGGCACACACAGCCTGAACCTGGCCACGTTCACTTCCACTTGTGGCCACCAAGGTCAATGATGAGCTTCCTAATCCTTTGGTGTCCCATATACAGGACCCTTGTCTCCCCAGTGAGGTCACAGGTTAGGGCCTTGTCTCTCTCCCCTCTCCCGGCCGCCTTCATGGGCTCAGTAGAGTGGCAGATGTGTGTCGAAACCTCAGTCCCTACAAAAGAATCCAGTCTCCTTGGGGACATGGACTTCGTCTTCTACTTCCACAGCTCCGCGCATGGTGGCTGACTCGTCCCTGGTACTCAATAACTACTTTTAGAATAACAGAGCGCATGGGAGTCTCGTTGAGCTGAATTACACTGGGATGGGGAGGGCTGAGTTGCTTTGTTGCCAGGGTGCACTGAGCAGTTTCTTGGGAGCTGTGCTCTGATCCCAGCTGCTTAGCTACAGAGTCAGAACCAATGCAGGCCTCGTTAACTCTCAACTTCAGAGCTGGCTCCCCTGCCTGGTGATCCTGCCACATCTGAGAAAGGCAGTACCAGTTAGGACAAGGTTCTCTTTTCGTGGTCCTGGCCCAGGGTTCAGTGTTTGGGGGGTGCTTGGGACAGGGGCAGGATCCTCTGTAAAAGAGCTCTGGCCTGAAGTTATGGGGTACCCCTCACCCCCACCCCAGATTTGGGCATGGGTCCCCGCACAGGGCAGCACCCTGCAGGTAGCAGTGAGGGAGGGAGAGCAGTAGGCCCTGCTGCTCCCAGGGTGGCCTGCGGCTCAGCGCAGGAGGAACCGGAGGCACTCCTGGCCCTCAGGATGGGCTACTTCCCGCTGCCCGGATGCTCACGCGCTCCCAGATTCCTAGGCTGGAATTCCCTCCTCCAGGGCGATGGGGTGGGTGGGTGGTTAGGGCCAGAGGTGGGGCCTCCTGGGGGCATTGGTGTCCTCAGGAAGGAGGCTGCTCACTCATCCTTCCCCCGTGGAGGCCAAGGTGGGAAGGCACCCTCAGCAGACAGTCTGCCAAACCTTGATCTTGGGCATCCCTGCCTCCACAACTGTGAGTTTCCCACCAGTTGAGAAGCACCCTGTCTAGGGTGTTCTGTTATAGCGCCCCAGCAGACCCAGACCCCAGAGAGATCTCCGAGTGTCTCTCTTAACCTCTCCCTGCCCTGGGGCTGGGCCATCCTGACCTTCCCTCCCCTCTCCCTACTGCCCTTTAGAGGAAGCCGTCCGGCAGGGCTGGGCATGCTCCCAGCACACTCAGCCTTGCTTCCAACCTGAGAAAAAGCCGGGCTCACACCCTTGGAACTGTCTCCCTCCCCTGCCCCCTTCCTTCTCTTTCTCCCTCCCTTTCAGCCCAACCCCAGAGCTCCCCGGGTGACAGCATGTGGACCCAACTCACACCCTACTCCTCAGGTCCCTGCTGGCTCCCCTCCCAGATCGCCCACCCTCCTCCCTGCGCTCCTCACCCTCACCCCACCCCCGCCATTCCTCTTTGTGGACAACTTTCTAAATACAGCCCAGCTTCCCCCTCCAGTCCACAGGGCCTATAAAACAGCTGCGGAAAGTCAACGGCTCTGCAAAAGTTTCTTGCGAAGCTTGGCTGAGACCCACATCCTCTCGCTGGAGCCGCGGCTGCCCCTCCCTCCCTCCCTCCCTCCTCGGCTCTGCAGCCAAGTCTCCTCTTCCAGGCAGCAATGGGGAGAAACAGTCCCCCCAAGAACTCACAGAGGGGCCCAGTGGAGCCAGCGAAGGCTGGGGGCGGAGGCAGCCCAAGGCCTGGCTGGCTTTCATCCTGACCTGCTGACTGGTGCTTCTCATGTGCAGAAAGACGGGAGAGCTCGGTTGGGTGTCCTGGTTCCTTCCACACCCCAAATTCTTCCGCTTGGTCCTTTCTCCTCAGGATGCCCCTCCCATGGCTTCAAGCCCGAGCGAGCATCCAGATTCCAGCCCCAGGCTGCCGGCATGGCGTTCAGTGTTGTTTTCACTATGCTCTGATCCTGGCCACATATCACAGCTGTGGGGGTGGGGAGGGAGAGGTGTCCCACCATGCGTGTGGCCAGCCACACTACAGACCAATCAGTGGCTTCAGAACCTCAGCTGGGGCCTGGGCACCCACTTGTTCACAAAGTTACCCAGGACCGGGGCGTCTGACTGAGCAGTCGAGGGTAGGAACCACTGGGAAGAAGCCTTTGGGAGACAAGGGTGAACCCCTCGGCCTGCCTGCTGGTCCCACGTTCTCTGCCCAGGAGGATCTGGAGGCTGGTGAGAAGAGATCAGGGGAGAACTAGGAACGTATGTCAGGGTGCAGGGGAGAGACTGTCGCCTAGACCAGGTGCCTGCCGTCCAGGGCCTGTGAGGAGGGGAACAGGGCCGGCCTGCCTGCTCCTTCCCAGGGGACCTCGAGGCATCCCCGTGGACCTCCAGGGCAGAAAGCCCCCCAGGCTGTCGTGCAAAAGCTGGAAACCAACCTCAGCCAGAAAGAGGGGCCCCAGCTCGGCTCCAGCCCTCTGAGGGCTTTGTGCAGATTGAGAAGAGGAAAATAGAGAAGGGAAACCAAAGCAGGGCAGAATGCAGTGAAGGAGAAAAAGACAAGAGAAAGGGGAAGGAGGCTGAGGTCACAGAGTCATGTGAATGGCATTTAGGGAACAAAGCCCCCTCCACTGCACCCCCTCCCCCTCCATCAGTCATCCCCTGGGGCTTCTGCCAGGGCCCGGGGCACAGACAGCAATGCTGCCCATACAGGCCCAGCACAGGAAGCCCAGAGCCAGAAATCTGCCAATTCTGAGTCTGGCAGCCCTGTCTTCTCCCAAGGCAGCGAGCAAACAGCCCTCCCCAAGCAGACCCTCTCAGATCCCCTACCTCCTCTTTTGTCTGGAACTAGGGTCTCCTGTTGGACGCTTGAGCAAAATTGCTTGATCTTTCCCAGTCCAAAGGAAACATTAAACCGAATTTCCAAGATATTCAGGCAAGCCACTCCCCTCCTTTTCCCTCCCCCTGGGCTGCAGCACCTGCCCCTGTGTGCCATCCTGGGAAGTCACATTCAGATGGAATGGGTACTGCTGGAACCCCAGGATATGAGCCAGGGCTCTGGAGACAGAGGCCTGGGCCTGGCTCCACCACTGTCTATTATGGGAACACTGACCTCTGTAGCTCTGTGCCCATGACCTCACGTGCAAGGTGAGATTTAGTGAACAGATGATGGAAAATGAGAAGACAACAGAAGGCCAGACCAACATAAGACTCACATCTAGAATGTATCAGGCCACCCTTTGCAAATCCAAAGAAGATGGCACCTGAATAGGAAACTGGGCAAAGATGTGAACAGGCAATTAGTAGGGCAGTATGCAAACAGGAGCACACAGCTAATGCAGCAGAGAGGTTTTCACGGTGAGGCATGTGACAATGGCTCTCACCCTGGGGGTGATCTTCTGTGCCATACATGACTCTACATACAGGGGTGCTACAAACATCCTGCAGTGCACAGAACCTGCACACACACACCAAAAGGATGAGCAGGCCTGAAACATCGATAGTGCCAAGATGGGATGGAGAGACCTGGACTGACAGAAGGGTGAAGGGACCTTGCTAAGACAAACAATAAAAATGCGCATGCACTGAGACATGGGATTCACTACACTAAGTGAAAAATACGGCAATAAAAGTAGTTCCAAAAGGCTCATGTTCCTGACTCCACATAGCTGTGTCCCGGAGGATCTGAACTCAGCCTTCATTGTTTGCACCAACAGCAAACTGTGGGTGCTGGGCACCTGTGTCAGGAGGAGTCACAGTGCACGACCCGGATCACGGCCCCCGAGACCAGCAGTCAGGATGGAGGAAGGGATGAGCGTGGTTTGTTCAGAAACAAAAAGGCAAGGTGGGCGTGATGGGTTGGGAGCGAAGAGGAAGAGAAAGGAGACACTGCAAGTTTCAGTATTTCACAACAGGACAGAAATACCCAGCAAGCCGGGGTTGGGGGGTGGGGGGTGGGGCACAGGGAGAAGTTCAAGTTGAGCAAGGGCTGTGGTTCTCTTTTCAAACTCATGGAAAATCCTCTTTTCGTGCTCACCCCGTGGCTCTGTGAAGCCAGACCCTGCTCAGCCACCACCATGGCTGAGAAAGGGGCACTTGTCCTACGGCCCCCAGGCCTTGTGCCCTCCACATCCACACTGCCCCCTCCCACTCTGTCTCCCACTCACCCTGGCCACCGCCGTCACCTGTTTGCCAGGGAGCAGACTATTTTCTCGACTCTCTCCTGCTGAGCCCTATCAAAGAGGTTGACCAGATAGATGCAAATGCCTAATCGCAATTCCAGCTGTTAGAAATCAGCACTGGGAAAGGAGTCCCCTCCCTCAAATAGCAGGGCCCAGGGATCCTCTAAGATTCTTGAAGCTGAGTTTAGCCCTGAGTGTCTTGGCAACCCAAGCAAAGTGTTGGGGGGGGGGTGCGAGGGGGTTTCACCAGCCTCACTGCCCATGAGTGCAAAGGCTGGTCCCTCGGGGGAGGTAGAGCATCACTGGCCATGGGTGCCTAAACCGTATTCTGCTTGGAGGTCTCAAAAAGGACCCTTAGCTGAGACCGCCCGTGAGGGAGAAGCATCAGAGCAGGACGGAGTCGCCGACGCTGTGAAGGGCGGCTCAACTGGGACTGCGTGGGGACCAAGTCATGTGCTCCCAGAACGACTCCGTTTCGTGAGAGTCCGACTGGCTCGGGGATAACCCTCCTCTGGAAGAATGGATGGAATGCGTGGCCTTTAAATAACCCCCGTGAACTTCATTTCTCTCAACTGAGCTTTTGATGAAACTTGGGCAGCGGGAGGCAGTGGAGGTTGGGACCGATGACAAGGGTCTGGGAGGCGGCACTGCTGGGAGAGGGTGGAGCTGTGGGTCCCTGGCACCTGCAGAGGCACCGTTCATGGTCGCAGCTACTCACCGCCCCCACACCCAGCCACCCAAGGCCCGGGTAAGCAGGGCTTTCGTGTTCTGCTCAGAGCTGAAGAGTGCTGGGCTCAGGGCTGCAGGAGGTAGGAACAGGAAGGCTCAGAGCTCAGTTATTGCATGCCCAGCCCCCTCTGTGGTTACCTGGATTGAGCTTCACGATGACGCTATGGGGTGGACACTAGGATTGTCCTTGTTTTACGGGCTCGGAGGCCTGTGCAGGTGTCACGTACTCGATGCTCTCCCAGCCCTGTTGTAACCACCCTGCTGCAGGACTGGTCACAGGTGAGTGGGAAAAAGGCTTTGGGCAAGAGAGTGCAGGAAATGCATGACTCTTAAAAACACATGATTGGGAAATAAGCCTGCGTGTAGGTTCTGAATTTGAGACAGTAGGGCTTGTGGAAGGTGTACACGGAGGGCCCTCATACATCGGAGTACGTGGGGCTGTCAGCAGCAGCCGCACCTGTCTGTAACAGTTGGGGGCTGGCAAGGTCCCTGGGCTCCCAGCTTCAACAAAGGCTGCAGGGCTGTGGGTGAAGGACACCCACAACCAAGCCCAGCACACTTCTTGGAGGCTCCTGGAGTCCTTCCCACACGCACGGCAAGGAGTGTGCCACATAGAGTCCAGCGCTCCCCGCCTGGGCAAAGCTGGTTGGGGCCAGGGATCCCCGCTGGGCACCCCTGCACAGCCAGGATGAAACAGAACCAGTGAGGCTGTCCGCAGTGGAGCTCCGAGCCCTTCATGCTAGGGCCGGGCTGAGTCTCTCATACATCCTGACCCCAAAGCTCCAAGTCCTTTGGCTGGGTACACAAAGGAGTCCTCTCGAGAACGGGACAGGAGTGTCCAGACCACAAAGAAGCTTTGCACACCGGTGAGCGCCATGCTGACTGGCAAGCCCTGGGCTCAGCCTGGGAAGTCTGAGGATTAAGGACACAGCCACTTTTAAGGGGGCTTTGGGGACAGGCAGCCCTGAGCCTGCTGTGAGGGTGGGGAGCAGTCAGGCTCCCTTCCTGCCCTCGTGGGGGTTGCAGTTCAGAAATACATTCATATACTCCTTCTAGAAAACCGAGAAAGCAAAGAAGAGAGGGACAGAGGGCTGTCCCTACAAAACAGATCTCGCCGCTTGCCCCCACCTACTATTCCCTTCTTCGCCTCTGGCCAGGATGGTGGCAGCGGGGCCCTGGACCGAGCAGGCCTGCTCCCACCACACGGCTGTTGCACTTGCTGCTCTCTTTGGCTTCCTCAAGTCCAAGTTCCAGTCTCAGTGGTGTTGTGTCTCAAATATCCCTTCTCAGTGAGGCTGTCCCTTCACTGATGTCGCGTTATTAAAGTTCACACACGTGTCCCTTTTTCTGCCAGGCCACAGATATTTTATTAGATAAGATTCAGACAGCTTTGCCCCCCCCCCCCCCAGCTCCTCACAGCCAACTCACTCAACGCACCCAGGACAAGTATTTCAATTGCCTTGGCCACTAGCTGTATCCATGACCCAGAGGTGGCCCTGCCAAGCATCGGCCAGTTCCCACAACTTGCTCAGCCTGGGGCTGGGCCTCTGCCCTCCTGGGGAAATCAGCAGGCCGATGGACAGTCTTTCTCTGCTCTTCCCCTCCACCTTGGCAGAGAGGCCTTGTCCCAAATGGACTCCAGGAGCCTGGCTGGCACAGTTCAGGTTCCTGTCCATTTGGATGGTCTTTCTGGACTCTAGAACACAATATCCAGGATGCAGAGGTGACCTCTGACCTGCTGTATCTGGACTCTGATGCCGGCTACCAAAGCTCACCCTCTCCTCTTCCTGGATACCCCTGGAGATGACTTTTCTGGCTCCTTTGCTGTCAGGCGTGGCCACCGCACTGTGAACAGAAGCAATGTGTCTCCTCCGAGCTAAAGACAATAGGAAGCGAAGGCCTCGTTGCATCTCTCGTTCCAATCTGCCATGACCTGTGACCTCGAAGACAGCAGAGCCACAAGCTGGAAGGAGCCTGGGTGCCGCAATCTCCACTCAGAGGAAGGCTGCCTGCCAATCACAGCATCGTGGACTTGGCAGGGAATGAAAATAAAGTGTTGTGGGCACCGTATGTTTTGGAAATGGGCTACTACCACGACTGGCATTTCACCTCCTGCCTCTGTCTCCTGCTCTACTCTGTCTTCTGCTAATAGCGTGCCCAGCTGGGACGTTGTCACTCCTGATCCCCCCCCCACACCACACCTCCAGGGACGACGGAAAGTCTGTGCAGGAGTCCTTTCTGCCCTTGGGATGTGTGAGTCACGTTAAGGGTTGGCCGAGCGAGGGAAGGCTCTGCCCGCTCCGTCTCTGTGAGCCTGGTCCCAACAGTGTGTGACTCTGGGCAGGGCTCCACCCTGACACAGTCGAGGCTTCCTTGTTCTTCACACCAGAGCCGGAGCGTCTGCCTGAGCCGCTGCACCGGGAAGCATGGGGGCTCCGGGACTCAGGGGCAGCGCCTCTGAGCGCACCCTGCCAGACACCACCTCACTTGCATCACTTACATCAGATGCGGAAATGGAGGCACACAGATGCTTCAAAGTGACCCACCCAGGTCTGCACTCTTCATAAGCGGCTGTCCTGGCCTTGACTTGGCCTTCTTCATCCTCTCTCCCCGACGGGACAGTACTATCTCCCGCTGGGCTGCTCACCCAGGAAGTATAGGTCCTCCCTGACTCCTCCCTCGCCCTCACCTCCCATATACAATTGGGCACCAATGCCCAGCTGTTTTGCCTGTAGGAGTCGCTCTCCAATCATGCCCTTCTCTCCATCTCCACTGCCACTGAGTGGTCCCAGCCCTCTGCCTGCTCCTCCAGGACTTCTGCCAGGAACCCCTGGCTGCTGTCCACACGGCTCCTGCTCCAGGGCACCCTGCTTAGCAGGCAGCAGCCGTGGGCATTTTGGGAAGATGCAGCTGACCATGCCAACTCCCAGGCTAAGACAGCCCAGAGGTTTCCCAGGCCGCTTATAAAAAGGCCTTGCTAAGGTCTACCCAGCCCGTGAGAACCAGCCTCT